TTGATATTCAGTAAAAGCATTTTGCAGTTGGGCAATAAACACATTTCTATTTCTCTCAGAGGATGAGCAAACAAAAGAAAGTTTTATTTGAATAAATTCATTAGCTTTTCAAAATAAATGATTAAAAGGAAAGTGGAGAAAATGATTTGCTTTCAAGCCAATAAATGCAACAGGGTGAAGAAATTTTTATATGTATTCACAGTATATTATTTGAAAGATAGAAAAAAGGCACTGTGTGTATAATTTGGGAAAAATAATATATCCCTGAAAGAAGGCACAGTTTTCAGATAAAAATTTTAAAGAAGATATGTTTGATATTTTTAATGTAAAGAAATGGTATATACACTTGTGTGTGTATGTGTGTATATTTAAAATTAAATACTGATTTCTTTCTTCCTTCTCTTACCTCAACATTTTAATAAACCATCTTTGTTAAACAAATTATAAAAAAAGAAAGTTGAATTTACTTTTACCCATTAACAGTACTAAGCATATTAAAACAAGGTGGTAAACATTCAAAGACTGCTGTGGGCTTAAGCTTTCAAGCTATTCTAGACTTAGGGTCATAACTGCAGAGCAATGGTAATGATATGGTTTCCATAGCAACTGATTCATTGGAGGGCTAGACCTCTGTCTAGGGTGCTGTCAGTGTATGTAGAGTTTCAGTGAACAGAAAGTCCCAAAGAAGGGTCTGCTTCTACCTAATCCAGTTTTAATTGAACTCTAGAGACTTTGAAGTGAAGCCTCAGACCAGGAATATACTACTCCAATAAGAAATAAAACTCTTGCTTAGCTAGGCCTCAGCTGCATTTCAGTACTGACACCTTTTCCTAATGAATACCTTAAAGAAATGTTATATCAATTTCAGCTACTAATTCTGTTAGTTAAAAGATTTTTTGTTTCCATTTTAAACCCAGCTATCTTGACCGTAAGTATAGAATTTCATTTGTTAATTCTTGTTAAGTCAGGCTAGTTTTCGTGTGTGATTTTAATTTTTGATACTTATGGCAATTTTAAATAATTTTGTCTGTCTCTCCTCCTGTTTCTTTTTCTCTGAGTTTTAACACACTAGACCTGATTATATTTAATTTTGAAAGCACACTGCTGTCATACATTCAGTATGATACCTGATTTATATCAGGTTTGAAAACATACAAAACAATGCTGGATATTATTTATGGATATATATGTGCTAATAGTATAAAAACTGACATGGGAATGATAAAGCTAAAACAAGAATAGTGATTGGCTCTGACAAAGGAGGAAAATGGGATCAGGAAAGGTTATATATGGGAATTTCAACACTATCTAAAATGCTTTATTTTTTAAAAATATGCAATAATATGGCAAAATGTTAGGATTTTATATGGTTGAGTAATGGGTACGGGACTTATGTCATTTTCTGCAGTTGTGAATATAATTTGGTAATAAAACATTTTAAAGAAGCATACCACTTCAAGTGGACTTTTTAATAACTATACTGCTTAAAGGAATGGGATATAAATTGAATTTTTTATTAATTAGAAAACCTTCAGTACATTAAAAATTTTATAATAATGTTTTAGTACACTTATTTTTATTAATAACTGAAGTATCTTTGAATATAATTAAATGTTTAGTTGCATGGCCATGATCTTAGAATGACTGAAACCACCATTATGAGCAACAGGTCTTATTATATAGCTTTATAGATACAAAAAATAGAATTTTCAGATTAGTGTGTGATATTCTTAGTCATAGACCTTAGAGGAGCCTTTGTTATTAGTTTTCTTTGATTTCCCTCTTTCACCTATAACCCAAGTACAGGAAGACAAATGTAGTTAATTAAAATTCTGATAAGTTGAATTGTAGTTTAACAAATATTTAAGCCCCGTTTTACAAATGTGACAATATGGTGTATATATTGTAACCTTTGTATTTTTGGATTAGAGAATTTGGAAGCAGGCTAGACTCTGCCACTAACTCCCAAGGGACTTTGTATTAACTATTTAATTTCTCTGGCTCTCATTTTCCTTACTAATAATTGGATAGTAGATTGGAGTATAAGTGTTACAGCACATATACTGGACTCTCTCCTACTTGATAAGTCCAGGGTGGCAAATTCAAATGCCAGTGGGAACTGGACAGATAATAGTAAATGAATGAATGAGTAGAGACTGTGCCGAAATGGTGAGTGTATGTCATTTGTTACCATGTGGCAGATAGATCTAGGTTTGACACTTAGTTTTTCCTGAGAAACTAGAAATATTAATACTTAAAATATCATATGGTCCAAACAAAATGAATTTGGGCCATATATTGAGGGCCATATATTAATTTAGGTTGCCAGTCACTGACTCATGTAATCATTTAAAAACATCTACTTTGTGTCAGACATTGTTCTAGAAAATGGAAATAGAGTATACTAGAAGTCTTTGTTCTTAGAACTTAGATTCTAGCATTCTAGTGCTGAATAGAGACAATAGTCAAGCAAGCAGATACCATAATTTCAGGTAATGATAAGTGTTGTGAAGGAAATCTGCTGAGTTTGGGGTGGTCATGGAGGAAGTGGGGTTTAGATCCAGTGGCTTCTCTGAGGAGGTGGTATTGGAGCAAAAATCTAATGTAAGAGTGAGCCAATTATGTGAGGATTTGGGAGAACATTGGAGTCAGACAAGAAAATAAGTATAAAGGCCCCAAAGAAGAATGAATTGGGCTCATCTGTGAGTCTCAGATGTAAGGCTTTATAAACAATTATAAAGAGCTTCAGTGTTTATTATGCATGAAACGGGATGCTACTGGATGGTCATTAAATGCATGAGTGATGTGATCTGATTTATATCTTAAAATTCTATTAAAAATTTTTTTTTCTTTGGCTCCTCTGGTCATAGTAGACTCTACAGGTAAGATGGGAGAAAGACCAAGTAGGAGACCACTGTAGGCTCTGGACGCATGGACCTACTGGTCATGGTGAGAGAAAGAGGTACATGCAACCTCTGTTTTCAAAAAATCTTGAGAATAAGACTTACATTTTGTCCTCTCTTTTCCTTTTCATTTCTCCTGATCTTATTTATGCAAGTATTGGCTGGGTGAAGGTAGATTTCTATATCACCAGTTTTAAAACTGGAAGTTTGTTTGGTCCTTAGAATTCTTGTTTTGTTTTTCAAAAAACACTGAGACTTGGAGTTATTCTTTTGTTTTTAGATCCTTTGTGCCAAAAATAGAATTTGTGGAAAAATCTCAATACATACTTAGTGAATTAAATAAGGTTGCTTTTTTCCCAAAGAAATTGCATTTTACATTGAGGAATATAGATAGATTTGTTTGCATTTAAGATCTAGGAAATGGAAATGAATATAGAAAAGAAAGTTCTTGTAGGGTAAATTCTTCTTATTATTTTTTCCTCTCCTTGCTTATCCCATCTTTGTCCCCACCATGCAATATCATAATCACATGTCATTCTATTTGTCTTTCTTAATAGTGGTTACTTTTCAGAGATATATCTTAATTGTTTGCTTTCAGGGATTTTCATTAGGTTTTGGTAGTAAATACATCTAATTTTCTTTATTAAATTAATATTAGGTGAAGTACTGGTGTAAGAAATTCCACATCTGGTTTTCCTTTAACACCTTCATAATTAAGCTTTTGAAATGAACTTTTTAAAAAACAAAACTTGAATAACAAAGCAACAAAGTGGCTTAGGACTAAAGACAGGATTACTTTGAGTTGGCAAAGCATTCTAAGACTGCGTCTGTCACATGGGATGACAAGAATTGTAACAAGTTACTCTGACAACCACCTTCTCCATGGAGAGATTATGTTGAGTTCATTTGCAGGTTTGTGTTTAGCCTAGCTGACAAAATGATACTTAACCTCTTATACAGTCAGTCTTTGTGCTTTCTGAATGAATGACTGTTGCCTTAACAGTGACCTTGAAAGTGTGATTTTTTAAAGTTATGAACTTGTATATAATTTTTTTGTTTTATTAAAAAATAATTGACATACAACACTGTATAAGCTTAAGGAATACAGCATGATGGTTTCGTTTACATATATTGTGAAACAGTTACCACAGTACGTCCATTCATCTTCTCATATAGATAACAATTTTTTTTAAAAAGAAGAAAAAAGGGGGAAAAATTTCTCCTTGCAATGAGAAATATAAATATATATATTTTAAAATATATAAAAGGTACTTCTGAAGTAGAACCAAAAAAAAAGAAAACAAAAAACAAACAAATGAATAAACAAGCAAAAAGCAGAGTCAGACCTATAAATACAGAGAATAAACTGATGGTTGCCGGGGGAGTGGGGTGGGGGGGCTGGGTAAAATGGGTGAAGGGGGAGTGGGAGATACAGGCTTCCAGTTATGGAATGAATAAGTCACAGGAATAAAAGGCACAGCATGAGGAATACAGTCAATAATACTGTAATAGCAATATAACAGGACAGATGGTAGCTACACTTATGGTGAACATAGCATAATATATAAACTCATCAAATCTCTAAGTTATACACCTGAAATTAATGTAACATTGTGTTTCAACTATACTAAACAAAACAAAACAAAACAAAAAAACCAACCTGAAAACCTCGTATAACATAAAAAAATATTTCTGAATATATTAAAATTGTATTATATGAAACTGAATTGTATATGTGATCTATAAGCATGTAAGGCATTCTTTTGAGGTCTTTCTTCTTTTTATCTAAAATTTTACTTTCACTAAATAATGCAATTTGTATTTCCTGAAAAGCAATAGATTACATCACTGCTTTTAAAAGCCCAAAATATATTTATAAATAGATGTTTTATAATTTTGCTCTGCTTTTTCACTGAGCTTCCTTTCCATAAGTTGCAATCTATTTTCTTAGTCTCCCTCCAAATTATTTCAGTAACTGTTTTTTCAATTTTTAGAAATTATTTTTAATAGGGCCTTTTCTGTTTTATTCAGGGGGAAAAACAACAAGAAAAAATTAAACTGTTGTTACTTACTTGCGCTTATTTTTTTCCTCATTAGATCCTGGCATATACAGAAGGGCTGCATGGAAAATGGCTGTTCACAGAGATACGATCAATCTTTTCTCGTCGTTATCTTTTGCAAAATACAGCCTTGGAGATCTTTATGGCAAACAGAGGTAATATGTTTCAGAAGTATATTGTTATAAAGCTAACCTCCACCTCTTTCAGATTTCATTTTTGAACATACCGTATTGTTTCCATTTAGATAGTAATTTGTAGTCTACTCTCTGCCATACTGGCCTCATTTTTTGAACCACATGCATCTTCATGGTTTTTTCCCCAATTGGCCATTCTTAGAATTATTTGTAGTAGTTTTAGTTTTCTGGCCATATCACAGATTAGTGCACGGTTTTCTAAATATAGCGAATAACTAACCATTTAATCAGTTATGGAATTTTGATGTTCTCAATATTGCTCTGATGCTTAAACTCCTTCTGGAAGGTGAATGCATTTGGAGAGGGGAGAGGGTAATCAAATGATTCATACATTTATTCAATCTTTTGTCTAATCTATTGCCATTTATAAAGGGACCATCAGAAAATGGTACTCAAGTGTCCTGGTTGCTTTGTATTACATCATTCTTGAAAGAACTAAAATTCAATTTGTGGGTTTAAAATGGAACTTGGTGAAATTAATTAAGACAAGAAGGAGAGACAAGGTGAACTTGAAGTAAAAGCATTGGTGGGTATGAGTGGAGCCATAAAAGGAGAATATATAAAAACTAGTGACTTATTGTACATACTCCTTACATGTGAGTAGATTGAAGTTTGATTTTCTCTTTCTATAATCTACAAGTTGTCGTTTAAAAAAATCTACATGAAGTAATGTATATTCCATACACACATTATTTTCCTTTTATAGAATCATGTGTCTTTAGAGAATACACATTTCTTTAGGTAGAGATGTTTTTTCCTTTCCTATTTGGTCTTCTCCCCTATACATACCTCTTTTTCCTAATGTAAACATTATTCTTCCAGGCAAATAATCAAGTGAATGTTTCACACTTTATTTCAACCTGCATTGTTGCTGTCCCAAAGGGGTTTTGTTACAATCTTACAATATTTATTACTTGCTCATCCTCGTTCATATTTTCCTCTTTTAAAATTTCTTATGTGTCCTTGCTTTTGTATGTGTTTTTCTTTTGCCTTTCCTTCATGGCCTTCATTATCTGCCATAACTTAATGATAGTTTTTCTGTTGTTGTTTTTTCCCCTATATTCAATATAATAATGGATGTATAGGGATGGCTTATTAAAAAGGTATGTTGGGTATATATATATGACAGTTCCAAATATGTTTTGGGTCCTTAGTGAATGATCATACACTTATTTACCTGAAACATGTTGATAATGTAAGTATTTAAAGCTATACCAAATTGATAAATTGTTTTTGGACTGAAGAATTTTTTTTAAGCTGCGTAGCAAAGAAGGATCATTTTCTAGATGAGTACTTAGAGGTTATGATACTGAAATTATAATTAAAATTTTAAGACTGTCCAAATTTATATCTTTTAATTTATCTCTCATGATTTTGACTTTCTTATTTTCATATTTCTTAAGATTAAAAATTTATAGATGACTGTAATAAATTAACATTTATGTACTCAATATGTTTATGTATATTGATGCGTGTTTCTTGATATTCTCAAAATGTATTATTGAAATAGAGATGATTAGAAAACATTTAAATTTGATTATTAACTATAGAGGAAAAGTTTTCCTTTAGGTCACACATTGTTCTGGATTATGTGAACATATAAATTATGAACATATAAAAATTGTAAGGAGGATAACTTTTAAACTCTTTATCATTGGAAATAAATGTGACAATTTAGTACTTAAATCTGTAGTATTTTTGGTGTGTGTTAGATTGTTAACTATATAAAGTTAAAACTTCAGTATTTATAGAAACTCACAGATACGTATGTTTAACATACATATGTATGTAGCTAATCTCAGCTTCACATCATATTAATGCAACAACAGTTTTTAGAACTTCTGACAGCATTTAGAGAAGGAACTGTCTATGGCTAAGGTATTTATAAGTAAAATGAATATTACCTCTGGCATATTAATACTAAAACTTGGTATGCACTATAATAAAAGTAAAATGGCAGGAATTGTATACCTGAGTTAAGAGTAAATATTTTATTAGACCAAGAAGTCAGTTTTCCAAGAAGGAAGTTATATTGTGTTCTAACTTTTAAAAATTATTTTTCATAGTTGCTGTAATGTTCAACTTCCCAGACCCTGCAACAGTAAAGAAAGTAGTTAACTATCTACCTCGTGTTGGTATTGGAACCAGCTTTGGGTTGCCTCAAACCAGGTACTGTTTTATATGAGAAAGATTTGGAAAATAATCTTTATTAATACTTTTTTCTTAATTTTCTTATTTTACACTTACTTCTCTTTTATGTTTCATATTAAATGATGATTATTAATGCATTATTTTGAGTCAACTGAACTTCTATCTGAAAAAAACTAGAAAAAGAGGAGCAAATGTAAACTGAAGTAGGATGAAAGAAGAAAATAATAAACATAAAGGCAGAACATTAATAAAAATGTAAGCAAAAACAATAAAGAAAAATCAATGCAATGAAAAGTTTATATGAAAAGATTAACAAATGTAATAAATATATATACAAGACTTATGAAGAAAAAGAAGATACAAGTTGCCAATATCAAGAATGAAAGAGGGGACATCACAACAGATCCTACAGATATTAAAAGGAAAATAAGGATATATTATGAACAAATTTGTGCTACTTAGACAAGTTAGATGAAATGGACAGATTTCTATGCAATAGGTAACCTTAATACCTCTACAGGGGAAATTGAATTTGTAGTTAAAGGTCTTCTGACAGAGAAAATTCCTAGCTCAAATGGTTTCATTGGCAAATTCTATCAAATATTTAATGAAGAAATAGTACCATTTCTGGGCAAACTATTACAGAAAACAGAAAAGAAGGATAAAATTTTAAAGTTATTCTATGAGGCCAGCATTACCTGAATTCCAAATCCACAGAAAAGCATTACCAGAAAACACAAGGAAAAGGGAAAAGGAAAACTACTGATCATCTTGATTAGAAAAGAAGAAATAAATGTGTCCTATCAAGTCTGCTCTTCAGAGGCTGCTTGAATGTCTGCATGACATGGGAGCTGACTTTCCCACAGTAAGTGATTCAAAAGGGAATGAGGCAGAAGCCCCAGTGTCTTTTTATGACCTACCCTTGATAGGTAGAGTAGGTCATCAATTCTGCTACATTATATTCGTTATAATGTAGTCATTAAATACCCAGGCTCCAAGGGAGGGGAGAAGTTCCACTTCTTGAAGAGAAAGTATCAAAGAATTTATGGATGTGTTTTAAAACTACCAGAGGGTCCAACTCTTATGTAAAAGGAGCACCTAAAGTGGCCCTTCTAGATTATAAGCAGTGGTTGCTTTATAATGCCAGTGAGGATTTTGATTAGATAGTTTTATAATTTAATGAGGAATTTCAGGTTCAGAATGAAGCAGCTCAGAATGGTGTAGTAAATTTCTTTATCTTAATAAAAAAAGTCTTTTTTTCTACTAATTATCTCTATTTTTTAAGTTTTATTCATTAGTGTTATCATACTTGGGAAATCTTTGTAATGATTTCCCTCAGTTAATGAAAGCTAGGTGTAGGTTAATTCATTAAATCAGCAATTTAAGTAGATCTCAAACACTAGCAGTGTGTCTGTTATCCAGCAGTGTACAAGATAGATACCATCTTACCCATGCATGTTTTAACAAATATGCAAACAAGATAAATAACCATGTAAGTGATGGGAGGGATATAAATAAGGGTGTTATAGTAGTGATTAGTGGAGTAGAGATAAGATGCTTTGAATTATGTGGTCAGAAATGTCTTCCTATATGACTTTTAAGTTTTATTTGAAAGAATAGAATCAGCTTACCTTTGAAAGCAGAAATATCATTTGCAAAGGTCCTGAAATAAGGTGAGGTTTCAGTATTTTAAGAAATGTTGGAAGGCAAATATCATTGGAACTTAGTGATTCTGGGAAGAGGGTGTCAGTTCAGAGACAGCAGTTTATTGTGGAAATCCAGATGATATGTGGTGCTGATAGTGCAGTTAAAAAGAGACATCCTTGTTTAGAAATTTTGAGGACATACAATTTGTGTGATTTGGAGATTAATTAGATAATGGAGGATGATAAGGGAAGGAGGTGTCTAGTGTGTCTTGCCAAGTTTTAGTTTAAGCTGCTGAATAGCATTTACTGAGATTGGGAACACTGGAGAAGGAATGGTTGTGTATCTGTCCTCCCAAGGTTGAGGTCGGGGTTGTGGAGACGAAGTGGGTGAACAGAATATGAGTTTAGTTTTAGATCTATTGAAATTGAAACCCCTGAGTGATGTCCAGACTGAAATGTTGAATAGGAAGTTAGAGCTCAAAAGAAAGGTATAGTAATTGGGAAACACTTAATGTTGAAAGACTGAGTGCTTTCCCCTAAGATCAGGAAGGTTAAAATGTCCCCCATTCTCACCATTTCTATCAACAGTATATTAGAGATTTCAGCCTGTGCAGTAAGAAAGGAAGAGAAGGAGGGAGAAATTAAAGGCATCCAGATTAGAAAGGGGGAAAAAAAGTCTTCATTCCTAGATGACAGAGGAAGTGTAAGATTTGTATATTGAAAACTATCAAATATGCCTGATAGAAATTAAAGACAGACATCAAATAAATGGAGGCATTCCATACTCATGGATCAGAAGGTTCAGTATGATTAAGATGTCAGTTCTCCCCATATCTATAAAGTCAATGCAGTCCCTATCAAAATCTAGCAGACTTCCCTGGAGATATTGAGAAGCTGAAATGCAGTGGATCTGGAATTGCCAAAACAATGTTGAAAAAGAATAAAGTTAGAGGACTCCAACTACCTGATTTCAAAACTAACTATAAAGCCTCAGTAATTAAGATGGTCTGATATTTATAAAAGGACGGGCATATAAATCAATGGAACAAAATTGAGAATACAGAAATAAAATCATTTTTTTTCAACAAATGTGCTAACACAATTCAATGAGGAAAAGATAATCCTTGAACAAATAGTGCTGAGACATTTGGATAGTCACATGCAAGAAAATGAACTTCAGCACTTATCACACAGTATTTATAAAAAATTAGCTCAAAATGTGTCATAGGCCTATATTTAAAAGCTAAAACTAAAAAATTTTTCAAACTGTGGGAGAAAAAGCTTCATGACCCTGGAGTAGGCAAAGAGTTCTGAGATGTGACACCAAAAGCGTAATCCATAAAAGAAAAAAATTGAGAAATTAGATTTAATAAAAATTTAAAACTTTCATGCTTTAAAGGACACCACTAAGTATATGAAAAGAGAAGTCCTAGACTGAGAAAAATATTTGTACATAATATATCTGATAAAAGTCTTGTATTCAGAATGTATGCAAAATTCTTACAACTCAATAATAAGACAAAAACCTCAATTAATGAAGGAAGAAAAGATTTGAATAGTCATTTTACCAAAGAAGATACACAAATGGTTAATAAGCCATGAAAAGTTACTGAACAATGTATATTAAAACTATATAATAAGATACCATTTTACACTCACTGGAATGTTTATAGTAAAAAATACATTATAGGGGCAAGTATTGGCAGAGATGTGGAAAATTGGAACCTCATATATTGCTTGTTAGAATGGAAGACAATTTGGCAGTTTCTCAAGAAGTTAAATGTAAATGCAACCTACAACCCAGCAATTCCACCCTTAGGATTCTGCCCAAAAGAAATGAAAACATATGTTCATACAAAGACATGTTTGTGAATATTCATAGTAATACAAACTGGAATAATAATAATAATCCAAAACCAGAAACAATTTAAATATCTATCAGTTGGTGAATGGATTTTTCACCAGTCTGTCTGGAGAGACAGAATCCCAAGCAGACTCCCCACTGAGCGCAGAGCACAACACAAGACCCAGTCTCATGACCCTGAGACCATGACCTGAGCCGAAAGCAAGAGTCAGAGGCTTAACCCACTGAGCCATCCAGGCACTCCTGGTGAATGGGTTTTAAAAATGTGATATATTCTGTATTCATACACTGGAATACTATTTAGCAATCAAAAAAATGAATTACTAATAACATGCTGCCACATTGATGAATCTCAAAAACATTATGGTTAGTGAAGAAGCCTGTTGCAGAAGACTTCATGATGTATGATTCCATTTATCTGAAATGTCCAGAAAATGCAAGTTTATAGAGACAGAAAGCAGATTGATAGTTGCCTGGAGCTGAGGATAGGAATGGGGATTAACTGTAAATAGGCACAAGGCAAGTTTTTGTGGTGGTGAATTGTTCTGAAGTACATTGTGGTGCTAATCACACAACTCTAGAAATATATTAATAAATAATTAAATAGTACACTTAGATGGGTAAATTTTATAGTATGTAAATTATACCTTTGAAAATAAAACTTAAAAAATATAGTTACCTTGTCCTTGGTGGTAGGAAGAACTGTGACAGCATACTTCTCTGAGATTCTAGGCTCTGAATGTATTAATCCTGCCACCTATTTTCCACTGTTATTTAGTAGTAGTCAGTTACATCTTTTGTTATTTACATTGCATTAAAAAAACAGAAAACTTGGTCATCTATTATTAAGCTGTGTAAAAAAATAATAGTTTCTCTTACCTTTGTCCCACCCCATGAATAGACACGTAAAGAGTTTAGAATCCTTCTTTCCCCTGTTATAAAAGGTATATAAACATAATATTTAAATTTAAAATGTACCAATGTGTTGTCTTTAAGAGAACTATTAAAATTGATAAAGATGTGGGCGCCTGGGTGGCTCAGTTGGTTAAGCGACTGCCTTTGGCTCAGGTCATGATCCTGGAGTCCCTGGATCGAGTCCCGCATCGGGCTCCCTGCTCGTCAGGGAGTCTGCTTCTCCCTCTGACCCTCCTCCCTCTCATGTGCTCTCTCTCATTCTCTCTCTCTCAAATAAATAAAATCTTTAAAAAAAAAATTGATAAAGATGTGAATACACACAAAAAAACCCACACACACAAAAAAGATGTGAATAAAATTTTATATGTCTTTCTCAGTTACTGTAATTCCTTTTATATCAGTAAATCAGTAAGTTATTAATCATACTATTATTAATCAACATTTATGGAACCTAGATATTATAGTGGCATTGTAATGAATATAATCTAATGAATAGATCATGTATCATGGACCTGTGGTTAGTCCAAATCATTTAACCATTAATTGTGCATTGAAACATTTTGTGTATTCATTAGTAAAACATGAGTAGAACTTTTCAGAATATACAGATATCATTTTGTATGTCAAATATACAGAATAGGCACAGATATTCATAATTTATTATCATGTTGTAATTAAAATGATTCTACATCAAATTGTTTTTTGCAGGCGTATCTCATTAGCTAGTCCACGTCAACTTTTTAAAGCTTCTAATATGACCCAGCGATGGCAGCATAGAGAGATTTCAAATTTTGAGTATTTGATGTTTCTCAACACAATAGCAGGTAATCTTATTTCAAATGGTAAATAATTTTTTTTCAAATGATAAATTATTAATTGTGATATTATTAGATTATTTTGAGTACTAGTATAAGTAGCTTACTTTTATTTTCATTATTACTACATGAGTACCTTATCAAGAGTAATTTTGATAGTAGAGTTTACAGTTTTACATACGAACTGCTGGCTACTTGAGAAAATTAAAAATGGGTATACACACTTTTTTCCAAAAATCTAAAATGAAAATGTCTAACTATTTAATATAGTAAGAATGGATTCTTTATGGGATAGTAGAAATAAAAACCATATAAAGTCTTAACCTGTTAATAACTTAATCAGAAGTGTATTATATGATGAAACAAAAATATAACATTGAAAAAAGAAAACTGGGTAAAATATTAAGTAAAGGAATACTTATATTATGACCCACATGTGAAAATCTAAAGAGTAAATGGCTCTAGGGGCACCTGGGTGGCTCAGTTGGTTAAGCAACTGCCTTCAGCTCAGGTCATGATCCCTAGAGTCCCGGGATCGAGTTCCGCATCGGGCTCCCTGCTCAGTAGGGAGTCTGCTTCTCCCTCTGACCCTCCCCCCTCTCATATGCTCCTCTCTCTCTTATTCTCTCTCTCTCAAATAAATAAATAAAATCTTTGGGGAAAAAAAGAATAAATGGCTCTATACAAGGTCTGTAATCAAGAAGTATTACTGAACGTCACCCATTGAAGCTGTTCTCTTTGAAAGAGAGTAAAGAACTGAGGGTTGTGGAAAGGGAAGTGGGTGGGGGGTGGGGTAATTTAGTGATGAGCATTAAGGAGGGCACGTGATGTGATGAGCACTGGGTGTTACATGTAACTAATGAATACGAACTAATGAATTGAAAAGTACACCAAAAACTAAGGATGTACCATATGTTGGGTAATTGAATCCAAACAAAAATAAATTTTAAAAAAGAGAGTAAAGAATAGAAATGTGTCATTACTTTTCATTTGTGATAACTAGAATAAAGAAAACAGGGAATGTGTTTGTTGACATTTGAGATTCAGTTCAACAAACTGGCACAGTTTATATTTGAGGTGCAAAGGAGGTACAGAGAGAATAAGGCATGTTGCTTGCTCTCAGAGAAGTTATTTTAAGTATGAATATAAACATTTACATGATTGTAGAGCAAGGAGTATAGATTCAATAAAAGAAATACAAAGTATTATGGGGATTAAAAGGTCAGAGAGGGAAATTATATTCATCCAGTTGTTGGGAGTAAGGAAAAAATCAGGAAGGATTTCATGTTCATATAAGGACGGATATTACTTTAGTAGAGGTGGTAGTTGAAAGATTACAAGTCGTGCCATGTAAAACTGAAGGCATAAGGAAACATACGAAGGTGGGAAAATGTAAGATATAGCTAGAGAACAATTAATGGTATAGTTTATACATGTGTATATGTATGTGCACACATAAAGTATATTTTCATAAAGATATAATGAGAAAGAAAGCGAAAAAGGTAGTGTGGAGACACATTGTGGAAGATTTTCTGTCAGTTTGAGGAGTTAGCAGTCAATTCACAGGGCAACTTCTGAAAGTTTTTCAGCAAATAAGTGATACTAGAATTATATGGGAAGTTAACTTGGAGGCAGAATAAAGGATAAACTGGAGTGGAGAGAAACTAGGCAGAGAGCACAGTTAGGAATTATATATAAAAAAATAACGGGAGCTTGCATTAGAGGGGCGATAGTGGGAATTTATAGATTAAATGACGTAAGATTTATAAGGTACAAACCATTTGACATCGGACTGACTGAATGTAAGGGGTAAATGAGAAAAGAAGTATCAGAAAAGGTTTCCAGGCTTCTGGTCTGAATCACTGGGGAAATGGTGGTGCCATTAACAGAAAGGAAGTCAGAAAAAATGGTCTAGGGAAAGAAGATGATTTTACTGTGCAGATAGACATCCAAGTTAAGATATCAAAAAGAATTTTTAGAAGTATAGGTCAAAGAAGGTATTTGGAATTTGGAGATAGGACATTGGATTTCATCTGCATAGATTAGAAAGCACCAAGAATGAGTTGAGATTACCAAGCCAGATAATACAGAAAGCAGTGAGACAAGGTCTGGTGAATGTTCTTGTCAGTGACAAGAAGACAAAGGGAAAGTTAGTAAAGGAGAAAAGAGAATGAGTGATCCCAGAGTTTTTAGACTGAGGAGAAGGAAAACTGAGGTATATAGCAAATGTCTTGAGATGCAAGGGGAAAGAGAAAGAGAAAGGTGTTGGTTGCCTGTACTAAATGTTACAGAGAGGTACGGGAGACTTAAGAATGAGTACAGGCCATGCCTCTAGCTTGGACATTTGGGAACTTGTTGGCTACTTTTTAGGGGTTCATTTTAAAAGCAAACAAAAAAGGTTGATTGTAAGAACTGAATGGTTGGAGATGAAATGAGAACATTAGATCTGTTATTACAGTTTTCTTGTGTAATAGTGAAAGGGAATGGATTAAGGCAAAGGTGAGAAACCATGAAAGAGGGACAGAGAGGAAAAGTAACAATGCAAGTTATAAGTGAGACAGGCTCAAGAGCTCAGGTGAAAGAATTACAGCTCACGAAGAATAAAGGCACTGTTAGAAAAGAGGGGAAGAGAGAGGGACTATTACGAAAATTGGAAGTTAAGCGTTCACATTGAAAAGTCTAAATTTTATAAGTTAAGGAATGTTCAACTCACAGCCAGTTGAGGGAAAGGAGTGAAGAAAGTTTGAATAATTATGTTGAACTAAATAGAGATTATGTAAGTATTAGTGACTGAAAGGATTTTTAAGTAGTAGTGAGAAACAGAAAACTTACATAACAAGCTTAATGGATATATTTAGCATGTGATAAGTCAATTAACACATAGATTAAATGCACAGTAATAATTAGGAAGCAACATTTACGAAATGGTCTACCTCAAATAGCTTCTATTGTGCTTAAAGTGTCTTTTAGATACATACTTCAAATATTCTTTTTAAAGAATAGAACCAGTAATTTGTTTTGGATAGTTTTAAATACACTAGAAGGTGGGGTTGAATCTCACATTATTTAAGATTTCTTTTACACCGTTATCGGTGATACATACAGGTTCTCATGATCCCATGGCACATTTTCCAAGACAGTCAGTAGGCATTCAATAACTATATAGAGAGTTTAACTTAATTAATAAAAGTCTATTTACAATGAGCTGGTGCATACCTTTTTTTTGTACATATAATAAATTTGATCATTTAAACAGAGGGGGCAAAATGAGAATTTTACTAACATGTTTACTAATGTCTCAATCAGAAGGAGAGAGATGGGTGAAGGGAATCAAGATAGAGTGGTTTTGCTGCTAAATTTGGTTACTTTTTTCTGGGAGAATTAAAATTGACAGAAATATGTAGTGACATAATGACCTCTGAATTAAAATTGTCCTAGTTATTCATGTTTTGTTAAGACTGTTTCCAGGTCAGTCAAGGAAGAACTCTGTTACTTTAATAGTCCTCAAGATGGGTAGAGTGAAATAAAGTTAAAAACATCAAATCATAAGGAAGACTCAGATACCAAGGATCTGTTTGAAGAACTGTAATATTTAGCTGCATATTGATATGACATCAGTATATATTTGAGGAAGAGAAAACATGATAGAATATACAATATAAAGGAATTCAAACAAGATTAATATACTTGTCCCCCTTATATTTTAGCCATAAGAGTCTGTTCACATTAAATCTAACTAAAGGTAGAGTATAGACTAGTAAATAGTGGAACTGGGATTCAAATGCTAGTGTTTTGACTCTTGAAACAATGATTTCATCCACTATGCTGCCTCCTTAAAGTGGTGATATCCAGAAAACTGCTGTATGTATATATATATTTATAGAAGGGCTATCTCATCCTTTGTTTTATTCATATTTTTAATAGACCTGAATGTCTCATTGAATGTCATTAGTTTAAATGAAGTGTAGAAGAGTATGTGGCAGCATTAAGGAGTGGAGGAAGCCAACATTGATGAGGCTTTGCATTATATTCAGAGGATCATAGAATTTGAAAGCTGTCACAGAAATTTTAGAGTTATTTAGTACAACTCCCTCATTTTACAGGTGATGAGTGAAATGT